ATTGGATTTGGGGAGGGGCCTCCTAACAAATTTACTTCAAAGCCATATAGTATCCGAGGTCCTCGGTAAAAAAATTTTTAAATAATTTTTATAACACAAAATCTAATCTACATTTATTTTTAGAGGCAAAATTATTTATAATGATTTCTTTTTTATCATACATATTAAAATCTCTATGTACATTTAGAAGACATAAGCGTGTAACAGTGACACGGTCGACACAAAAATAATATCGTGTTTTTAGTCTAATCTCGAACACAACTGATAACTGATACGCGTTACATAGAATATATAAACAAGAAAAACCAACGAATGAACGAAATAGGTTCTAAAAATAGCAACTTTATCTGTTTTCATTCCACTAACATACCCAATGGTTTCCAAAATAGATATGTGTAATTAATTATAAATAAAAATGTAATGTGTTACACAATTTAAAATATTTGTGATTTGAGTAAGTAAAAAGAGACTGTTGAAAGAGGTCGGTCTGGGGGGGGCCTAGGCCCCTAGGCCCCCCCCCTGGATCCGCCACTGATAAATATAGTAGGCACCTAATACAAGGGCTCAAGCCTATAACTAGCTCAAAAATAGTCAAAATATTGAGAAAAATTTTATGGGAAATTCTAATATAAATATTTGTTGAAAATTTGAAGATATTTATCATTTTCAACTTTTAAAATTGAATTTTAATCATATTAACTCGTTTTAAATGCAATACATTTATTTGACGACTGATGTCAATTAATATATTAAGTAGGTATAGTCGTAGGTATAAGTAGAAAAAATTACAGCAATTAAGGATATAAAAAAATATAAATAATATTTTTTTTTTCTCATTAACTTGGCTTCTTTATGGTACCTATCTACGAAAGCGGGGACTGCCCAACTGGTGAAAGCGCGGGGCCCAGGGTGAGGGCCCCGCTCGCCCTGCCCTAGGGACGGCCCTGCGGCGACCACACGTATCGAGGACGGTGGAGGGCTAGTAGATGTACCGAAAACGAAGGACAGCGTTCCTTGATAATACATTAATACGTTTAAACATTGTGGGTGGACGGCACACCACGGGATGGAGTGGGAACACCGACGGTTGTGTACGCGACACCGGTTGCGACGTCGACGACGGCGGCACGTATACGCGCTTTAAGTATAAACATACAAAATAAAAAATAAAAATTCAATTTAATAAGAAATGGAAAATGGTTAGGCACCTAAGAATTGTGAATAAATTATAAATTTATTAGCTGATCTCGTCATAGAAAATTTATTTTTACTTAAATTGTACATAAATGTGTATACTGCCGTCATAAGCGAAAACGCCGTAGGTCACCGGAGAACGATTTTGAGAAAAACGCCTTTTTTGTGTTTTATATTTTCATAAAATCTTAACACCTTGTACATTCTAATTATTTAAATATGATTTATGTTTTCCTATGTAATATTACTCACCTTATGCAATGAAAAAATAATAAATATGATTAAATTAATTTTAAACAAGATATTTTACTTTTTACGTTGTACCTTAGTATTGGTATAAACTTTTGATACTTTATTTAAAAGCAAGAACTCGTAAGTAACAATTTCTGAAATGATAAAACTAGTTATACGTTTTAATATTAAAATCACAAAACAATTATAATATTTTTCAGTCAATTTATAAACGGCATATTCATCTACACCAGTGGCGTACTAACGGGGGGGGGGATAACTCCCCCCCCCCGAAATTAATGGATGATTTAATTTATTATGAGAAAACTAAAATTTCTAGTACCTGTATATTAATTGTACTGTACTCTACTTTTCTCAAATACTGAGTTCTGAATTATAAATATTATTAATAGTACAGCTTGTCAGCTTACATTATCTTATGTGGGTACCTACGGGAATATGAGTATTTCCACGAAGATATTGTAGATATGGACGTGGACGATCGGTGTAATTATTATGACAATCTTTTATCGTCGTCGTAAAACGTATTTTATTTTGTGCGATTAATCACTTAGTGTGTTAGCCACTTTAATCTATAATCGACAATCGTTAACGTCGTTTTCATGTACTACCGAGACAGTGCCTACATGTTATTTTATCAACCATTGAACTATATTAAACTATTACTATCACATGTCAATGAAAAATAATATCACGAATAAAAATTAGTAATCTATTAAAATGTACGATATGTTTTGTTATGTTCAGGTGTCACGTCATCTAATATGTTAATTAAAAAAATTAACCCCCCCCCCCCCAAAGTTCAGTCTAAGATCACTGATCTACACAAGCAAAAATTTCCAATAATTTATTTGTTTTTAACTCATTTTGATTTTTTTGGGACTTACGGCGTTTTTGCTTAACACGGCAGTATATATAACTATACAAATTCTGATTTTTAGAACTTTTAAATATAATTGAAGATTTTCGAATACTTTTTTAACCATTTAAAGATGATGTTGTTACAATATAAACTTCTGTTTTTCAAATAGGACACCTCTTTATAGATTCTGAGGGAAACCATAAATGTATTGATTATACAATGATGTGTGTTTTTTTTAATTTGTTTTTGTGCCTGTCATCACCTTTTATCACAGTAAAAGTACTTAGATTTCTTGAACAATATCTTTTCTGAAAGGGAATTAAAATAGTTGGTACTTTGGGGGGTCAAAAGTGAAATTTTTACAGTAGTTTTCAGTGAAAAAGGTGCTCTGCTGTACAGTAGGTTACAAGTAGGTCACTGTATAATGGATGATATTAAATTTAAATTCAATGAAATAATATAATTGCATAAGAAAAACGATTCTGAGCGGAGACGGTATGTCAGTCTAGGTTTAAGGCATATTATATACTTATCTATGGTATTAAAAAAAATTGACCTATTATAAATTCCAAATTAATCATATCACAATATCCATTAGGTAAAACTATAACGCGTTCTACATCAACAACAAACCCTGATACTATCATAGATATATAATAGTGTACTTTAGAAATTTCAAGTACCCACGAATAATATTATACTTATAGAATCACAACGAAATAACTAAAATAGTTATTCTAGGTTTTTTTTATGTAATTTCATCCGAATTTGAACTTAAAATGACTATAAAAATAAACTGTGCTAATATATTTTTTAGATTTTTCGGTAACAGAATTAACTACTTACGTGGAATCTTGTTTTACATTTTCAATCCTTAGGTATAAAAGTTGAACATTTTATAAATTTTTAACTACAAAATAATTATTCAATTTTAAATTTGATAAATTTTGTCAAACTCGATCTTTAAACGCTTTAAAAAAAAATTGTGCATATGTATTTTTAATATTTTTCAACTGATATTGTAACAATATATCAGGAGCCTTGTATTAAATTTTTACACTTTTGGGCCAAACCGATAAAACTTAATTGATATTTATAGATAAAAAAATTTAAATAATTGAAAACTGTAAATGTCCGTAAACAGCTCAAAAAGAGTGAAAATATTTTCAAAATTGTATGGTGTATAGGAAATGTTAATATAAATATTCAGTGAAATTTTCATGTATCTACAGTCATTCGTTTTCGAATTACAACAAAATAAGGAAATCGCTACATGAGAAATCGAGTGAATATCCAATATTGTAAAAATTTGAATTTCAAACGCTCATAAAAATTTAATTTGACTTTCTTATAGACATTTATTTCTTGATAACGGTAGATAACCTTATAAGGAATCTTGTATCACATTTTAAAATCTTAGATTTAAAAAGAAAAATGTTTACGAATTCTCAACTCAAAATAATTTGCTAATTTTTGTGATTTTTCCATATTTTGTCAATTTTTGGACTTTAAATGCTTATAAAAAAAACTGTGACTAAGGATTTTTAATATTTTTCATCTGCCTTTGAGACAATATACTAGAAGCCCTCTATTAAATTGTCAAGCTTTTTTAACCAACTAATAAATTTTTATTGATATTCATAAAAAAAAAACTAATACAATTGGAAACTGAAAATGTCCCTAAACACTTCAAAATAAATCAAAATATTTTGAAAATGTTATCGTGTAAAGAAAATCCAAATTTAAACAACCAGTGAATATTTCACTTACCTACGGTATTTTGTTTTAAAGTTACACCAAAAACCAAAATCGATTTTCTCGAAAACAGATTTTGCGTATAAATTCCCGTTTTTCCTTAATTTTTCTTTTGTTTTTCACGGCACTGTTAAATTTTTACTTTTGACCCCCAAAAGTACCAACTAGATTCACTTTAATATCAAAAAGATACTGTTGAAGAAACTTCAAGCACTTTTACTGTCCTATAAGGTGATGACAGACACAAAAAAAAATAAAAAATAAAAAAACACACATCATTGTAAAATCAATACATTCATCGTTCCACTGTAATGGGATTACGTAATATCATGTATTTGCTCATAAAAACCACCAGGAATGCGACCACACCCAAAAGTGTTTACGACTAGAATACCACTCTTAGTCGTGAGGTCCATATCAAGGACGACTGTACACGCGCCGCCTGCTTTCAAAGGACGCCGCCACCATATATAGGGGACAGCGAGACAGCTTGAGTAAGATGTATCCAGAGACGTGAACAACACACGACTCGCTTAGCCGCCAGCCATCACACACAACTACACGGAGATTATCATTCTAGAACGAGCTACAATTCACTCAACTACACAATCAACACGACTGTTCTGCTTCTTTTGTCTGGCTTAGGCCCGGTTTTTCAATCATATTTATTCATCGAATAACATGAGTTATTCGACAGATAAGAAAAAAATAGCAAAATGCCGGTTTTTCAATGTCAGAATAAGTCTTATTCGATGAATAAACCACGAATAAGTTATTCGGTACTTTTTTGACCAAATAACAAGTTATTCGACGAATAAATGTGTTATCATAATGTATAACTGTGCTGTGATAACCAAAAGTTGTATTTTGTTATTATTATAATAATACCAAACCAGAACGTACTTCTTATATTTTATTTTTTTATAAATAAAATATAATGGATATATTTGGAATATTTTATGAAGACGATGATCAAGAAATCATCGAATTTTTAAATTACCAACGTCGTACATACACCATACGTATGAGAGTTGATCATATGACACTTTGGGATGATCATGATTTTAGGATCAGATTCCGAATCTCAAAGGTGGTCGTTCTTCAAGTTTTAGACCACATCAACGACCAAATATCTTCATTAACCGATAGGTAAGTTGGTTTACTATAACTGCCTCCCGAAATATTCAGTTAAAATATTGAAATGAAAAATTATGATATCAAATATTATTAATAAAATTGTTTGCATCAAAACAAAAATATAAAAACTACCTGCATCTTTATCAAACTTTAAAATATTTTGCCACACGTATAGTATGTAGGTTTAAAAAAAAAAAATATGTTGTTAATTGTTATGATATTATGATGTATTTATTTTTTTTTTCTGTCTGTCAGCACTATTTTGGTAAAAAGTAAAAATGTAAAAATGATCGGATTTTCGAGATCAGCATAATTTCTGGTTGAAAAGTGAATTAAGTTGGTCGAAATTGAAAATTCCTAGTAGTTTTAGAAAGCGTCAAGATCAAAATAAAACAAAAAATATATTTTATTTTTTTGGGGTAACCAAATATTAATAACCGTTTACCGTTGAAATTTTCACCACATATTTGCATTAGCATTTTCCATGAATTGTAACATATTTCGACTCTTTTTGGGCTAGTTATTATATAGCCTTAAGACATTTTTCGAATTTTGTGAATTTGTTTTAAATTATTCTCGATAAAAACTTTTTCACTTGAAAATGTAATACAAGGTGCCTTATAACTTATAAGTTTCATTAATGTAAGTTCAAAAATATTAAAGATGCATAGGCACGACTGGTTTTTATATGCATTTAAATTTCAAACTTAGACAAAAATCATCAAAACTTCGAAAATACTTTGATTTTCGACTACATTTTCTGTTCTATAAAATTATGATTTGTGATCTAGGTTTGACACACATACAAAATAAGGTGCTAACTAATGAAAATCCAATTTTTTTTTAGAAATCATGCAGTGACATCCATTAACAAATTGCTTTTAGCTTTGAGGTTTTATGCAACTGGTAATTTTTTGATCACTTCTGGAGATTTTCTTGGGATTTTCTACAATCAGCATCTAAGAGGCTAGGTAACCCTTCAACTGAAAGCTGAATACTTTCATACAACTGTTTCTCCAATTCACTTGTACTTGTATAGTCAGTTTTACTGGGACCACCACCAGTTTTAAATAGTTCACTTTTTGAACCTCTCAACAACTTTTTTATACCTTCGTATTTTAGTTTTAAACTTGTAGCATCTCTTGGCTACAACAGTACAAAATTAAGTTTTTATCTTCAATAAGCGATTCCCATTTTTTTTTAGATTTTTCTCAGTATACAACACAAAATACACATAACTTACACATCCTAATGTAGCTGAATTATACTGCTCAGCAATTTTAAGCCAGCATTTGTTCTTATCTTTCCAAGACACAGCGTTTGATTCCTTATTTTCTAAAATATTTTGATTCTCTACAGCATATTTCAGTAATAATTCTTTTTCGGTGAATGAAAAATTAGTAGCCCTTGCCCTTTTAAGTTCATTATTTTTTGATACCATTTCGTAGCACAACACAACAAAAACTCAAGTTTCAAATTACGATGAACAACAAATTAATTAATAATTTCATCGAAAATATAATAATAATAAAATGAATAATATTAATAATAATAATACATTGATAATACGAGTATCATTGATAAGAAAATGTTGACCAATCATAAACAAAAGTATATACAACTTGTTCCACAATCCACTATTAATATCACTGCTATCAGTACCACAAATTAGTTTATCTACCGAATAATTATATTCGTCAAATAACTATTCGATGAATAAATTTGTATTGAAAAACACTTACTAGTTTATTCAAAAGTTTATTTGCTGAATAAGTTTATTCGACGAATAGTTATCTGACGAATAAATGGATGATTGAAAAACCGGGCCTTAATAAAATACATTTGATTACTATACTAATTTGACTATTGTTATTTATAAAAGTACATCAGCTTTTGGATCCCTGAAGGGCTGCATACGTAACACCACTCAGAATCTAAAAAATTAAGGAAAATCGAGAATTTGTAAGCATAATCTGTTTACGAAAAAGTCAATTTTGATTTTTGGTGCAAATCTTAAACAAATTACCGTAGGTACATGAAATTAGGACTGAATGTTTATATTAGCAGTTTGTATACACCATAACATTTTCCAAATATTTTGACTTATTTTGAGATAATGAGATGTTTACTGACATTTGCAGTTTCCATATTTTTTAGTTTTTTTTTTTTTATAAATATCAATACAATTTTATTTATTGGTCAAAAAAACTTAATAGAATTTAATAGAATTCTTCTAGTTTATTGTTTCAAACTTTCAAAGGCAGATGAAAAAAATTAAAAATCCATAGTCACAATTTTTTTTATAAGCATTTAAAGTTCAAATATTGACAAAATACAAAAAAATGACGAAATTTTCTTTTTAAATTTCAGATTTTAAAATGTAATACAAGATTATTCATAAGTTTTTCTATATAATATATCAAACAATAAATGTCTTTAAGCAAATCAAATTAAATTTTTATGAGCGTTTAAAATTCAAATTTTTACAACGTTGGATATTCACTCGATTTCTCATGTAGCGATTTCCTTATTTTGTTGTAATTCAAAAACGAATGACTGTAGATACAGTGTAGATATTTCACCGAATATTTATATTAGAATTTCCTATACACCTTACAATTTTGAAAATATTTTAACTCTTTTTGAGCGGTTTACGGTCATTTTCAGTTTTCTATAAATATCAATAAAGTTTAATCTGTTGGGCCAAAAAGTGTAAAAATGTAATACAAGTCTCTAAAACCTAGTGACCGACTTGTAACCTACTGTTCAGCAGAGCACCTTTTTTTTATTTTTATTTTTTAAATAATATATACCAAGGTAATAATTATTATAAATACGTATTTAAATTTCATTACACTCCTGGCTCCTTTGTCCTTCCGTCACCAATTAATTTTTTTTTAAATTGTTATATTATTGTCATTAGTCAGTATTAAATATTTTATTGCGTTTCAATAATATTACAAGATAATATTATATTATGATTATTGTTAAATGGTAAAGTACATAATTAAAGACATTCAAATTAAATTATATTAAATATAATAGGTATTATAGGTATGGTTATACAATATGTGATATGTTTCTGGTTGTTATTAATAATTAATAATTAATAAATATATGTATATACTATATATACTATATAACAAAAGCTAAGTTTATACAGACTATATTAAATTCATAATGAAACTAAATAGGTAAGTAATAATTCATAGTATCACAGTGCCACAGTTGCACTACACTATATACGTTGATGTATAATATTTTATAATAATTAATATTTTGAAAGTAAATATTACTTACTTGCAAGTTCCAGTATTTTTTTTTCCCCAAGACATGGTTTGTATTGGAATTTAATGATTTCATTTTTCAAACGAAAATTGAAGAATATAACATTACATTATTATATTAGATTTCTAAATTATAATATTTCGTAATAGAAAGGTATGTAATTATTAATAATGGCAGAAAACGTGACAAACGTAAAAGCATGTCCTAGGTTAGGTTAAGAATTTCCTTTCCTTTAGGTAGAATTTCCTATTCACTTTACAATTTATATTATATGTATATACTATATATTATATATACTTATTATATTATATGTATATACTATATATATTTGTATATAATAGGAAAAGCTAAGTTCATACAGACTATATTAAATTCATAATGGAACTAAATAGGTAATAAATAATAATTCATAGTACCCGCTATACCTAATAATGGCAGAAAACGTGACCAACGTAAAAGCATGTCCTGTGTACCTACTAGGTACCTGCTTATCATTATTCCTATTTTCTATTGCTGAAGTTTGTTGGTATAAAAAATGTTATGACTTCATCACTTTTCTTACCTACACTAAAATTATAGTGGGTGGAATACGAGTTGAGTCCACTCAACGAGTTTTACACAACACAGTTAAAAGTGGTATAATAAGTTTAGTCACTGCCATACCCTATAATGCACGGATAGTCATGATTTATAGTAAAATTTAAATAACACATTCACATCCATATTAGAATTTGGAAAATTGTATTTAATTTTTAATAAAAACGGTACATACTCACTATTCATTAACCCTTAACTTGGTGTTGTATCTTTTTGGATACACAAAGTTTGTGAATTTTTGTACGGAATCCGATGTACAATATTTTTATTTTATTTGTATACTTTGATAAATGTCATATCTCCCACGTGAGTACACTACGATAACGTTTCTATGATGATAGGGATTGATAATATGTAATAACTGTTCTTTGTTATCATTTTTTGGAAATTTAAAGCCGATCAAACTCGTTGACTTCAACTACTAATTTCATCAAATTTTAATGTGTTACTAGAATCAACTCAGTTAATCACTTTTATGTAAAGTTTCTAATAATATATGCAATAATGCTTATTTTATATCAATTTTAATAGTATGTATCCTTTTAGATATTTTATCCTTTTAGTATTGGTTTATGGCTATGTATCTTTTAAGATACAATTCATAACTTTGAACTTTCAAGTCCAATATTTTTTTGACAACATTTTTGAATTCAGCGACCTTAAATTTGTTTGAAAATATCTACTTTAAAATTTTCATTCTAATATTTTAATGCTTGACAAGTTAAGGGTTAACTCATTTTTGTACAATTGTTTATGTTAAGAACATCCTTTTCACAAGAACACACGCTCTCGAGCATTCAATATGCAACGGAAATGATATTGTTGACTAGCTTTCGAATTTTAAGGCTTCTGTATAGGCAAGTTGTTTAGTATGTGGAGCGAATCGATGTAATTAATGTGTGCCTACTGCGTAGTAAGGCAGTGGCTGGTGTGGATGTGTGTGTGCGTTTCGGTGTGTGTCGAGTTATGCAGCCCAGGCTCGACCTGAAACTTTTTAAGGGGGCATGGTAAAATGTGCGTTTATATTTTATTTATAATGCTTATATTATAATAATAATATATGTTTGTGAAGATCATGGACATTTTTTTTTTTGTGAAAGTATACTAAAATCAAAAATATTTGTTTGCACC